GCATATCCATCCTGAAGTCACAGAGCTGCTCTCCTTAGCAAGGTAAATCCTTTTCATAGCATCCAAGTTCAGTGATCACTTCCTGGGGAGACTTTTAGGGCAGCTAGCATTGCAGGGGTTATCAGCCAAGGGATATCCCCCATGTAGGAGCTGTAAACATTTCTAGCTTTGTACAGTAAATTAATAACAAAGCTCCTTCCTGTCTTAGATGTTCATGCCAGGATCAAACATAAATTGACATTTACCTCTCCAAGCCTCATATTTATTTGTTGCTTTTTTCTGTTGCAAAAGTGATTTGCTTTTTACTTACTTCAGAATAATACCAGTGAGACATAATTCATTAGTGTCTGTAAATTGCTTGGAGATGCTGCCATGAAAGGAGCTACAGAAGTGAGCAGAGTATCTTTCTCATTAGAATTATATGACAGTGTCATTAAGAGAGTTTTCTGGAACAGTTTAATTCACAGTTAGAGCAACAGTCCTGGGAATCTGTTACAAAATAGTGAGATGGTAGATGCTCCTTCCCAAATTCTCAAGAATGTGCCCCTTCCAAAATTTGCCTTCAGGAATATATCTCTTACTAAACTTGGTATTTCTCTTGATCAGAAGATTCAAATGCTTTCCATTTAGCAAACACCTCACAGGAATGAAGTAGCTGAATTTTCAGAGTCATAACTCTCCAAAGTCTTTAACTTCTATCTCATAAATGTACAAAACCACACTCTTGCTCATTTGACCCTAGTCAAGTATTGATACTCAGCTGGATTTTAGATGGTCCTTGCATGCTGCAGAGTTTCAAGTCAGTATCCTGGAGGCCTGTTTCACACAGAATCACAGAATGTTAGGGGTTGGAAGGGACCTCAGGAGATCATCAAGTCCCTGCAACTTGATGGCTCTTGCAAGGCCCCATTATGCAAAGCTGCCATTTCCAGGGAGGAGTGACTGCAAAGAACTGAAAGGAAAAGCAAACTAAGAGTCTTCAAGAATGCAACACATTGGCATATTTCATCTGGCGCAATTAAACCCTGAAGTTCCTAAAAAAAATTAACATTAGGATTGCTGGTGAAGGCCTGGAGGATCCACGTTGTTGTTGGCTGACACAGAGCCTACTGCTTCATCTCTGCTTCATGTGTGCTAGGGCTGCAACCCAACTGCGACAACAAGGGGACACAAGTAAGGGCAAATGATTAATAAAAGCAATGCCCAGTTAAAATTATGAGCAGTAGTAAGTGGGTCTCATATGGCATATATGTATCTGGTGGGCCAGTAGGTTATTTCCATTCACAGAAATACTTCATGCTATAGCCATCTCCCTGTCATCTCTCAGAGCAAGTGCCAGCAAGTACACAGTGTATGAAGAGCTGACACTAAATTCCTGTGTGCTTTCAGGTACCTGCTGGGAGGGCAAATGAGGATTTTGAGAAAGATGCCAAAGAGTTCCTTGAAATTACATTAAAACTTTTTGGTGGATTCCTGTTATGAAAGGTGCTGACAATTAACTGCCCGAGACTGTTGCCCTAGCGGGTTTCAAGATGGCAGGATACTTACCTCTGGGTTCTAAAAAGTAGATCAAGGTTAAAGAAGGAAAAGAATGCCCACAGTGAGGGGAGTAAGGGCATGTATAAATGAAAAAAACTGTGTTCTCAATGGTGTTTTTATAGGAAGACTGGATTTTAGGTTAACTCCCAAAACTGTATAGGAAAGCTTTTAAAAATTAAAGCATACATTTTTTTTCTCCATCTAAAAAACAGTTTTTACTTCCAATACAGCTTGAAATTTTGACCAGAGATGTATGATTTCTGGAAGCACTGCTTTACAGAAAAATGTGTACCTTATCCAACTACCTCCTTTCTAAGCTATCCTAGTTGTTGTCAGCTGACCAGCCAGCTATAAAAATAACGGGGCTCTGTAGATTTACTGATGTATGTAAAAAGCGAGGCTTCAGGTAATTCTACATCTCTTCCAAGTGTTCCATGAATGGTGACAAGTATGAGCCTGCCAATGGAGCTGCTTGATAAATGGAATAACTTAAGACTTCAGCCACACTCATAGTAGCATTTTATCACTGTTTTTTTTCATGACAGTCTTCCTTGTCAGCTGTTTGGAAAAGCCATTTCTTAAATCTGAAAAACATGTTCTTCCCTCCCTTCCTGTATTTCTCCATCCTCAAAGATGGCCATCTGGGGCTTCACTGAAGGTACATGAAGTTACTCTTCAAAATGCTGCAAATTCCACCACCCTTTCTTCTAAATTTAGATTTTTTTCTTATAAATCTATAACCTGTGCAGTTATTAGACCTTTAGAAGCACTCCTGTCTGTACAAGACAGCACACCACTAAAATAATTTAATGAGCATTTCTAGTGACAACTCTTGTGCTCAGAATAAAACATGGAATAGCAAACTTCTTTCCAAAGGCTTGAAGCTAAGAATTTGTATGGACTGAATTATTTGCTTCCCTAATGCATTCACCAAGTGCAACAAGCTGATCACAATACCAGTTATTGTATAGTCTTTCAGTTCCTGGTCTGTAGAGCTAAGCTGATGCATACTACATACTACAGGTGCACACTAGCATTTCAAATATTAAGAAGAGAAAACAGAATTTGCACTCTCTGGCAGCTGCTGGCAGGGCAGTGATGTCAACATTTTCCCTTTCGAATTCTAAAAAGTAGAGAAATCAAGAACAGGTTTTACAGGAAGTAATTCTTCTTCAAAGAGAACTGTACCTGTATGAGAAGGCAACAAACAGACAAAACCAACAGACCCTCTGCTTGAAGTGCAGCAGCTTGTAGTAAATATATGATGATGGCCATTATGCAAAAGTCTTTAATACAACAGAGTCAAAATCTACTAGACAATCTGATGGGTTAGCTAGAAAGTAGCCTGCCAAAGGAAAGCCTCTTCAGGGTGCAAGGACAATTCTGTAATACCGTACTGACTTAACTTTATGTTCCTATTAAGAAAGAAACGCACATACTAATTTTATGGGACTTCAGTAAAGAAGAAACAGACTTTTGAGAAGCAGCAGCAGTAGACTCTAATATAACCCATATAGGGAACTTCCAAAATTCTGAAACCTTACTTTTCTTTTGAATAAATTCCAGAAGAACCTAAGTGCAGATTAGAATGAAACAAACATGAAAAGTGTATAAAACAAATACTCATTAAATAGATGTGTAATTCAGAAGCAATACACAGTAAACTCCCCTTGAGCTGTGACTGGTAGAACATTTAAATCACAGGAAGAACTGTTTTCTGGGGTCCTGAAAATTTAAGCAATAGCTTTCAGGAAAGAAAGGTAGAGTGAAAGCAATTTTATTGAATTAACTACTTTGTTCTTTTTAGGAAATACAGTCAGGATAGTTTTAATCAAAAGAATGTTACTACTTTAATTAGCAATAGTATGTTTGAACTTACAGACTGTATTTACATATGAGATTTCAATTTCTGCCATCAAGAATTTGTAATATGAGGTTTATATTCAGGGTTGTGAGACAGAGGTTGAATTTAAACAGCAAAGGCAGTGGATCTCAAGCATAGGCTTAAAATTAAACTGTTTAATGATAGTGTGGGAACACTGTGACATGCTTTCTTGAACTGGTGCATCTATTCAGCAAGCCAGTGCAGCATGATTATTATTTAACCTGTGTTGAGTTCAACAAGTCACCTTTATTCACTGATATTGTCACTTTTTAGCTAAGTGAACAACACGGCTAGTCTGATAACTACTGTGGCTGACAACACCTTCCATACAGCAGAAGAGCAAGAAGCTCTGGAGAGCTTCCCACATCTGTAAATTTGAGATTCAGCAATATCAACTGAATTCCTTGAAGAAAAAGGGAAAGAAGCCACTTGGAACATGGCTTTTTATTCTTAAGTGAGGGAAATTTTAGATACATTTTAAAGGGGCTTCCTGTTGGATTCTAAATTTCCACATTCTAATTTGCATGTCTAGACTTCGGAAAGTGTCAAAAATGGCTTTCTGTTTTAAAATAACGTGCATGTGTAAATCATATTGAGTCTGCATTAAAATAGATTGTTCAGGCTATGCAAACCATTTCTTTTCTTTCAATATAAATGTCTTCCGATACTGACTTTTCTGTGCACCAATATTTAGAGCTGGTTCCTTGGCATCCCTGAGTAGATCCTGCAGCAGAAGGAAGTACAAATGCTTTTCCTTGTACTGGCGTGCAGGGAGGCAGCTTGCTGCACTCGTGTGACCCTGCTGCTGTAATGTGCCACTGTAGGCTGGGCTGACAGCCCCACAGAGCGCTGCACACCTGTCACCGCTCCCCTTCATGGCAGGGCAAACTGGGCTGAGGGAGAACAAGGAAGACATAGAGATTTTTTTGCTCCCTAATTTCAACTGTTTCAGTTTCACTAAGCAGAATTCAGGTATGGATGAGGATTTCAGCATCTTCCTTGGAAAGTTTGCCCCTGGGCCATTAAAAAATATTTTAAATAATAAAATTGACTTGCCTCTTGATTTCATTATGCCTGCTGTTTCAGATCTGTGGTTTTCTTAACAGATAATGCTGTTAAAGATTTGTTTTGATGAGATATTTTAGGGTTTTTAAATATTATATGGAAGTTCTTAGCTCTTTGGCTCCTTTCGGTGCTGATTAGGATGGTCTCTCTGTTTTGTTCTTTCTCATATTTCCAAAACATCCGTGAGATAAAACAGAAAAGCACATGGAGCTGAAGACATACACTTTAAAGAAATAATTCTGTCAAGAATTTCAGGTCAGAGTCATTTTTATAACTGATCTTACTAGCTCTATCCTTCCTAGCTCTATCCTCCCCTAAATAAACAACCCAAATATACTTCATGTGCTCCTCCTAAGGCAACTTGAAAATATGCTAAGCAGCTTGATTTGGAATTTTTTCCAGAATTTAGTGACCTTACAGATTTGACTGAACTACACATGTTTCTTGAAACCTACAACCTGACACAAACCTGTTCAGGTGCCAAGATGAGTGATAGAAAGCACATACTTACATTTCAGCTCCAGTTTGATGAAGTCAGTGTTGCCCAGATTCTCAAGAAACACCCCATCCGAGGCCGATGTTTTGAAATAGAAAGAGATGTCTGCGCTGGTTTCCCCTTGGAAGGTGGAGAAGTGAAGGTAGGATGATGATGTAACAAAAGAAGCCGCGTTCCAGTAATTCCCTGCATGGGAAAGGCAAAAAGATACATATTTCAGAGCTCTCTTGCAGCTGTTTGAAAAATTGAAGCTTTTATGTCAATACATGCTACACTGTTGTCTATGCTGAAAAAAAACCCAGGCACCTTGACTTTACTACCTCCTTTTTGTTTTTTTTTCTGGATCTGGTGTGTCACATTTCAGAAGGCAGAGAAAGTTTAATGTTATATTTTCAAGTTCTCAGTTTATCATGTTCAGTCATCCACAAATGTGTTGCTACTACATATTTAGTATAATAACACTGAATTAATGGGAGATCAGACAGATGGGCCAAACACTCGTTAGGTGACTGCTTCACCTCAGGCACGTTTTGATTTCAAACATTGCTTCATGTGTATCTTACCTGTCTTCACATTTATTCAACAGAACTACACCCATTTATTTAGAAAATGTATCCATGTCTATTACAAGTCTGTTACTACATATAAAAGTAAAACTCCAATAAACGAAGCTAAGCAATACAGACACAATTAACATATGCCCCAACAGTCCCCTAATACATTTCCACTGGAGTAACATAATTATTAGTATTATTCAAGATCTATAACAGTACTTTAGCTAGCATGCCAGTCAACATTCTGTGCAAGGTAGCATTACATTGCAAAAACAAAAAACTGAGGAGATATAGGTGATATGGTAAGCCAATGAGAGACTAAAACAGTTAATTTTACTTTCAGC